GCTTTTAAAGTAACATATTAGTACAAAATTACCTTTTTCAAAAAAAAAATTGTCTAAAATTCTGCTTTATAAAGCAGTACGAAAGTTGTCCCAATGAAACCTAACTTGTTATCAATTTAACTTCATTATTTTATATTATTAGATATCATAATTTGATGACAATTTGTGTCCCAAAATTAAAGAAATATCTACTTTACTCTATCTTAATATGTATAAAAATAAGATGAAGGTGGGCATCATTATCATCAATAAACATAGAGATCTAACCCCACTAGAAAGGGTGGAGAGCACACTAGCTTACTTTGGCTCATTGATCTCTTTCAATAAAAAATAATAAACTAAATATACTGACCTCTCCAACAAGGCAACAAGCCAACAATGGTGGGACATAAATTTTTGAAAAGAGAAATTAGTGGTATTAATCACAATAGCTATCTTGTGCCAATGGAGTTTGTCTCTATCTTGATTTTAAGGTTTCCAAAGTTCTATTGGAAAGATTTGCTTGTTGAAAAGGTGATGAAAAAAATAAAATAATAAAAAAAATAAAAGAGAATATATATATATATATATATAAATATATCATCATAGGTAGCATCTTAAAATTTATATTTATTGATATAATATTTTGGTGTCACAATTACTTGAAAACTTATGCATGAAAAGATGTATCCTATTTTAGAAATTTACTATTAACTATACTTTTGATATAATTTAAAGATTTGGGTGTTATGTGTAAATTCATAAGAAATTCATGATATGTATTTAAATTCCATAATAAAAAAATATTAGTGTTGAAGCCTAAAGATTGACTAGAGAAAGGGATCTTTGATGATGAAGTCGATTACTGCGTTATATAAAGTTAATATTCATCTAATTTAGGTTTATTCTTAGAGAGTTATCCTCACCTCTCAGACTTGATTGGTGAGGCTTCAGTAGTCTTGGGAGAATGTTTCAACATATTGACATTTAAAATTGAGTAAAATGGGTGAACTTGATATCAAGAATCTCTAGTTATAATCATGCTCAAGAGTTTTCTCTTTGTAAAAAAGCTTGGACATTGGAGATAAAGATCAATCAATTGAGGTTGCACTGTGCCTCTTAGGCTCAATAAGCATTCTAAGAGATGCATCAACAATGTACCTTCTGCTAGAAAATCCTTATTATAAAATATCATCTAACATATAACCAAAATAAATAAATAGAAATTGTTGGTTTTCTAGGGGCTTTTTGATGAGAAAATTTTAGTGTCCTCTAATTCACCTACTAAGTTTTTTAGCTTGTTAGTTTAATTGTGCGGAAATCTTTTCATCTTTCTTCATTTCATATCCTACATGGAAATGAATCTTACACTATCTTAGAGATTGAGTTTTCCTTATTGTATCCAACCTCTTATCTCTTAATATTTGATATAGTTCAGAATGTTTTGTTTGATGAATTACTTCTGATGAAGCAAATTCAACATTCAATATATTTCATCCCAGGACCTCAATTGCCTAATCTTGAATGCTATAAGATGAATCATGTAGACTTGTTAAGAATAAAAAATAAATAGATGACTTGTTAAGAAAATGATTCCTACAATAGAGTCAACCTATACATGATGCCCCTTGCTTCACTGGCTTTAAAGAAAGATGATTCTTGAAGTATGTGTGTTGATAGTTCGGCCATCAATAATATTACCATTAATCACTTGTTTCATATACCTAGAATTGATGATATGTTTGACTAGGTTTCTGGAGTTGCTTAGTTCTCTAAGATAGACTCCATAAGTGGTTATTGCTAAATAAGGATTAGACTAAGGGGATGAGTTGAAGATCATTTTCAAAAACATCGATGGTTTATTTGAGTGGTTAGCGATGCTTTATGGCCTTTCTGATACACTTAACTTTTAGATGATATTAATGAATGCTATCTTGAAACCTTCAATGATAAGTTTCTTGTTATATACTTTAATGACATACTTGTATATAGTAGTAATCAAGACCAATTTTGCATCATCTATGACATATATGTTACAAATTAAGAGAAGAAAAACTTTATATAAATATGAAGTGTTGCTTATTTTGAATAAAAAAATTTACCTTCTTAGATTTTCTTGTACTTTTTCCTAGTCTTAAGATCGATCTTTAAAAAATTCAAGTTATTCTTGATTGTGTATACATAATCCTCTTGCTAAGGTTAGAAGAGAAGAATCATAAAGAATTTTAGTTCTAGTGTTTTTACTTCAACAATTATTTTTAAAAAAATTATTGATACCTGTAGCACAAAAAAATTTGACCAAATTAAACTTTTAATAACTTCTAATGATCCTTAAAATTATCTCATTTCTTATAAGTTTTTGTGCTCCTATGTGATACTTTTGGGGTAGCAACAAGGAGTCCTAACTCAGAATAAACATTTAGAAGTATTTTTTTGTTTAGTTAGAAATTAAATCTTACTTATGCAATAATCATCTCCTTCAAACCTATGCCAAAACATCACATATTCTAAATTCCTTGATAAGACTGCTACAATCTGACATGTTTTGTGGACAATTATTTTATACTTACATTACAATCTTTCTTACACCATAGACAACTTCATTATAAAAATTGTATTATAACATTCACTATGACATAACTATCCCTTAAGACTTGACCCACAAACTATGTTATATTATGATCATCACCCTCAAGACATGTGCAATTATTTCGCTTGAAATATATTAATATTCAAGAAGACTTATGTTGCAATCTCATTTACTACATAATAATCACCCTAAACACCTATATAATCTCATTTATGCCACAAGTTTTGCAACAATAAGAAGTACATCACAATATTGCCTATGTTATAATTATCTCCCTCAAGGCCTATATTGTAATCTTGCTTATTTCACAACTATATTTCTAAGGACCAATGCATCTTTTGTAAAATTTGTACCATAGCTACCTCTAGTACGTCGAAACCCAATCACTATACAATCTTACAATATTTACAATTAAAATGTGAGTTCTAAAATCAATGCCATTTGTGTCACCTTTGTTGATTGCAGTAAGACATTATGTAAAAAGGCTCCTCTTTTGAATGATGGGCACTAGTTTTTATAAAAAGTAACTAAACATAATCATACTAATTTCACAAATCCAAGAGTTTTTAATGTTAAAAAGTGTGTTATGCTCTTATCTTATACGACCATTTGTGTTTGAGATAAAAAAATGTTATGATAATCAAGATTAATTTTCATTTTTTTAAAGTTGATTTCAATCATATTATAATTATGCAAAAATTATTATCTTAAACCATTAACTAAACAATTGATTAGATATAACATTTAGGCTTTGTTTAGAATGGCTTTTACTGTTTCTTAAAGTAGTTTTTTATTAAAAAATTAAAAAATTGATACTAAAAATTAATTTAAAAAGCAATAAAAAAGCCATCCCAAACGAAGCCTTAATGCAACTTCAAGAGTATACTGTATGATAATCATATGAAAAATAAATAAAACATCCTCAACAAATTACTCTAATTTTTTTCATAAATAAAATAAAATATGCTCAATTTAGCATACATTAAAATTTAATCAATAAAAATATTATTTTATTTTAGATATAAATGTATCCCATAGTGTAACATCTTTTTCTTGATATTTTTTCAAGTAATGAAAGTTTCAAATAATAAAAAAAACCTAAAATCTTAAAAATTAATGTTATTTGAACAAATGAATCAATAAAATAAAAATATATGTAATTCTCCTACTCATTAGGCCACCTAAAAATTTTCAAAATAAAAATTTTAAATAAATTTATTTACAATATTAACAAACTCAATAAAAAAATTAAAAAAAATTATAAAAATAATTAAGCATAGCAACTAGCAAGCATTAAAGAAAGCAAACCTCTATGTTAGAGCCATCTAAACGTTTTAATAGCCCTAAAAATTGAAGACAACACCAACTTCTTGTCAGACAACTCCTTTAAATAACCAAAAAAAATAAATAAAAATTTGCATGAAAAGAATAGAGAAGTATAAATTAAATAATTATTAAAACAACCCCAGACGTGTTCCCGTAATTTCATACAAATGCAGGGGTAAAGTAGTCCCACCTGCCACTTCCACTCACTTCCCTGGAAGCTCGGGGGAATATGGACAAATTTTCCGAGCCAGAAGTCGACAAAAGGAATCGCGCGCTAATCGCGATTGGTGTTGAGCCGTTCATTATGACTGAGTTGAATCTCATCATTTTTTCTTCACTTTATATTTATTAAATAGATAGAAATGAATAAAAAATAATTTACTTTATATGTAGTTTTACTTATTTATTTTGTTATTAAAAAAATTTAAATATTTTTTAAATTTATGATTAATATGCATTTAAATTTTATGATTATACAATTAGAGAAATTATTTTAAAAAAGTTTTATGTTCATTATTAAAAATAACTCAAAAATTGGAGTAAGAATAAGGGTCCCACCACTCTTTACTAAAGATAATATTAATTATCGATTATTTAAATATTTTATTTTAACATGTGACTCCTTAAAATTTTATTTGAAATGGCTTTTTTATTGATTTTTAAAGAAGTTTTTCAGTACAAATTTTTTTTTATACTATAAAACTTCTTTAGAAATCATAAAAAAAGTCGCACCAAAATAAGTCTAAATATGTGTTTAAGGTTTCATTTGTCTGTGATAGCTTTCTTATTACTTTTTAAAGTAACTTTTTAGTACGAAAATTTTTAATTTAAAAATTTTGTACTGAAAATTTACTTTAAGAAACAATAAAAAAATTATCTCAAATGAAACCTAATGATACAACAGAAAAATTAATTTGATCTATATTTTAAAAGGTCTATAGAGCAAATTATTACTTTTATGTAATAACGAATTATTTTGATCTTCATAAAGGAACCTATTCGAACATTTTCTCTTCAAAAATGATAATTTAGCATTTATACGATATTATATATACTTTAAAATAAATGTAAATAAAATCTCTTAATATTTCAGAATATAAATAAAAGGAGAGGCCTTATCATGCTCCGGCGGGGAACTTAACGACAATTCCGGTGAGGGCGAGCCGGCGAGACCGCCGGATGTTTTTCCTCTATTATTAAATTTTCCCTCTCTTTCTCTCTCAGTCTCTCTCACGCACTTGCTGAGTTGAATAGAATATTTCCTCGATTTGCGATTCAGCGCCGGATGAAGAGAATGATGGCAGGCCACGGGAGTAGAGCCATCGCCACCGATGTGGAGTAGGCCGTTCGTCGATATAGGATTCAAAGGTCTCGCCTTTCTAAGATATTCTTCTCTTTCTAGTCCCTGATCACTCTTCGCGGCGCTTCTCTAGGAGTACATGGGTCGCCGACGGGCGACGAGGAAGCGACGAGAGGGGCTCAGGGCGAAGCAGGCGGGAAGGGGTTGTTGCAGGGAGAGTTAGTTGTTGACAGAGACAAAAGGCATTGCCGGATTCTTCCTCTCTGAAGAAATATAAGAGGCTCAGGGTTTCAAGGGAGCTTACGGTAATGGGGCTTGTACTCGGAGACGCGTTGAGGCGCCTCTGCGTCGAGATTGGGTGGTCTTATGCTGTTTTCTGGAGGGCGGTTGGTCTGCAGGAGCAAAGGTACGTTTGGATTTTTAGGGTTTACGGTTTGAAGCTTGGGGGTGAGATTTTTTACCTTTGTTCTTTCTTTTGTTTTTTACGACGGTTCCTTAATCCAGCATGATGTTTACTTTTATGCGTGTGATTGATTTGTAGAGTATGCGCTTTTTAGGAACTGTCACTCTGGTTTGAGTTCTTTGGTTTTGATCTGCTGTCATTTATCAAATAAATATATATTTGGGAAAATCTTCTTATGCGAAAGCAGTGAAGTTTATTATTATTTGGGAAATTTTCTAGGTATTTGATCTGGGAGGATGGCTTTTGTGGACGAATGCATGGTGGATTATCCGGTTTTGAAGCCATGGATTTACTCATTAAGGAGAAGGGTCTTCTTCGCGGTTCTCGGTGCGAGGAACGCTTTGCTGAGCTTGGTCGCCCGACTGAGGACAGAATCTACACGCTGGTTCATAAGAGAATGACGAGCCAAGTACATGCTGTGGGAGACGGGTATGCATGTTTTTTTCTTCTTCTGAAGAACTAAAATCTTTCTGCTTGGGATTCTTCTAGACCTGCATTTTATCCCCTTGATGGATGTTTTGTGGAGGCCACTCATCCTTATATGTGACATCTAACACTTGTTGTATTGGTTTGACAGGGTAGTTGGGAAAGCTGCTTCGACAGGGAATCATCAGTGGATTCTGAAAGGCAACCTAAACCCACAATATGCAGCAACCAAAGTATATTTACTAGTTAACTTTTATGGATTTTCTTGCAGTTTGTGGCTTCATGCAGATTTATGAAGATTGTTGGACTAATAATGAAAATTAGATTCCTTGAAATAATTCATGATCCTAATAGTGGAAAATGAATGTCTTTTTTATTTTTGAAAGATATAGATTTTGTTGGTCTGAACATTTTACACTGTGATATTTGTCATAGCTGGTCATGAATTATTTAGTAGTAGTAGTCTTGAATGAGTGATTAGATTAGGAATTGAATTTGATAAATATTCATCCAAGAGAAACTGGCAAGGGACGGGAAACGAGTTGTAAGAACACAACTAAATTAGAACCAATACCATAGGCATCCCTAGATGTGATTTAATGACGAGGAAGATTGTCATGATGGTATGTTGATTATGAAGAGCAAGTTCTAATAAGGTTCTTGTTGGATGCAAATGCGGAACTGTGAATTCAGACATTTATCTGCTAGTGGTATACCTTTAACAATTTGCTTAAGATTTTAAGTTGGCTGTTGATTCTTGTAATGAGCTCAACATGGTCCATTTGTGTTCTGCCATCAACAAGGGGTTTCATAACTAATATGTTGGGATTGATTAATCTACATGGTAAGAGGCTCCTATTTTATTTGAATCTTTCTATTTTGATTAAGGTTCAAGTCTTCAAGATGATGTGACTCATGTGTAGACCATGTGATTGGGTGTGCTCTTAATAGTGCTTAATACTTGATAGTGTGTGAAAATCTCCCATTTGAGGGAGAGTGATGAGGATGTGACCATTTTCATGAGAAGGGATGGGTTTTATATTCAAATGAGAGGGATTGCTGAGCCCATCTTTGTTTCCTAGTGTTTAACCTCATAATTATCCTTGTACATTTTCTTGAATTCAACAACCATAGTGAAAATACCTTGCTACCTTTGCTCTGCATGCTTTCTTTGTTCAGCAATCATGATGAAGATATGCTTTAAGTGTGAATAAAATCTTCTTTCATAATTCTTTAGTCTTCGTAGTTGATATAATATCTTAAAATTCCTTCTTGCAACAAACCTGGAACTATATATTTTGATATTTTAACAAATTTCATGTTGGATTTCTATTATTTCTACAGGATATGGTTGAGATAAATCAACAATTACTGGCAGGCATACAGGTTTGTATTTTTAAGAAGATTGTGTTTTCATTTGTGTGGAATGTTGCTGTTATGCTCATTTACATAATACTCTTTTTCATGGCCATCTTTGAACTTGATAATGTTTGTTTGTTAGACAATAGCTGTTATTCCTGTCCTTCCACAAGGTGTTCTTCAGCTTGGTTCCACCCAAATGGTATGTTCTTTCTTCGCGCTCTCTTTTCCTAAAATTCTCTTCAGGGTGAAAATTTGAGAACTTTATAAAGTATGTCTACCTCCAAGTATTAATGATTTATATCATGCTTTTTGTTGGTGTTGGTCATATAATTATTATATTTATGAAGTTGAGCATTTTTTATATTTCCCATGTCTTTGCATCTGCAAGCTACTAAGAGTTGCAAATTGTCTGGTATCACTTAAACTGAATGTTAGGGACTTGATGCACCTATGCATAACATGGTTCTATTCATCATTTAAAATTGTGCAATTAGAGGCTTGCCTTGAGGCCGGCCTCAATGCAATTCCAATGAAAAATGCCTCAAGGCTTACGCCTCGAGCTTTTTTATGAGGCTTGCGCCTCAGCTTTGCTGAGCGCTTCCTTGAGGCATGCCTTGTCTTGCTAGAGTGAGGTATATGCTTCACTCTATTTATATATATATTTTTATTAAAATTTACCTAATTCTTAAGCTAAAGCCTGAATAATCACGCCTTCAGACAACCCTGAGCCACATCAACTTCCTCGACCTCCAGCCGGCCTCTTGTATCACAACAACCACCGTTGAAGTTGCTGTCGGGTATTGAAAACCGCACACCACCACATGCTCTAAAACTTTTGAAGTATTAATCTTATCTTTATGTTGATAATAAACTTTTATGAAAAAGGAAGATGAATGAAATAAATGAAGAAGAAATAGATTGAAATACATTGAAATCCACAGGATGAGCTAGGGTAAAGACCAATTTGTTATGATGATGACTTACATAAAGACTTCAGTGTTGACAGTGCAGATGATTTTTGAGTTGCTACTAACTATTTTAACTTTCTTTATGAATTAAATGTGGATGAATATGAAACTGCGAAAGAAAGAATATGAAGTTGATGTTATGTTATAGTTTTATGCAATTCCTATATTTTATGTTATTTACTCTTATAATATTTGAATTTAAATTCTATTTCTTATAATTTATCACTTATTATTTTATGTCTTGTGCAATTTTTTATTTCATATGTATGCCAATTGTTACTTCATAGTTCAATAGAAAATTAGTGTGTCATCTTTTAACAAAATATTTGAGTATTATATAAAAATCATTTTTATCATTTATTTCACTTTATGCAATTTTTGGATTTTAAGGCTTACGCCTCGTCTTATGAACGAAAAACGTCTCAATATCCAATTGTGCAATTTCAAACCTTGGTGCTACTTATTATGAGTATTATTTTATTTTGAATCCTTTAAAACCATTTTAGTGGTAGAAAGATATAGTTGAATGTATTTGCTCAATTTCACATGATGGCTAGTTACATTGAAATTATGGATAATCCTGTTAACCTCCTTTTTGGGATTAATCACAAGTATTTTCAAAAGTTTTTTTTATGTATGTGTGTGTGTGTGTGTGTGTGTATATATATATATATATATGGGGAATTTTCTCTTGTTAAAACATAAATTAAATAAATATAATAAATAATTTTTTCAAATGAAAATATAAAATATGAAACAAATAAAAAGTAAAGAAAAGAAAATAAATAAATAACAAAATTCTACTTGATTTCATTTAAAATAAAATTTAAATCAACTTTAAAATCCTAAAAAAACCTAAAATGAATTATCATTAAAAAATCAAGACATTAAATTTTAATAAATGAAATCCATAAATCAAAAACGCACCTACATATAATAATAATATAAAACTAAAGAAAAGAAAAGAAAAGAAAAGAAAAAAGAAAAAAGAAAAGAAGATTATATATGCATAAATGAAATACAAAATTCTACATAAATTCATCTCAAATTAATCTCAAATTAAGCCCAAATTCAAACCTACTTTAGCCATCAAATAAATTTGAAAGCAAGCCAATCATCCTAGCCATCCATTCAATATGGTTAAGGGTAGATCGTCTTTCTACTCCTCATGGCTAATTGAGTTTGTCATCCAAATCAACCTTCTGTTTAATCCAATGGCTCAAAATGCATGCAATGACTACTTTTTCATCAAGATTCCAAGGGTAGCATGAGATATCATCCTAGCTAGGTGTGTCAATATTTTACATGACCCGAAAATCCAACTCGAACCCGATTCGAAAATTCCGGGTTAGCGTCAACCCGGAAGGCACATGGGTTGGATTCGGGTTCCAAAATTTGACCCGTTTGAAAAATTGGGTTGGGTTCGGGTCAACTCGCTAACTTGAAGTTGACCTGGATTTGACCCCATCCTCCACCCAGTCACAGTCCCTCGGGTCAACCCACTACGGCGCTAACCTGACATTCCTTAGTGTTGGATTGGAAGTTAGTAAGTCACAACAGCTTGCCTTCGGCTTCGAGTCTTCGTCGAGTCGACAGGACGACATCTTCACGATGATGTTCGTCACGTTCCTTCAGTTGGATCGATCGAAAGTCACAACATATTCTCAAAATCTTCACGATGGAATGTTGGATTGGAAGTCTTGACATCTTCAGCAAGACGAGTAGACGACATCACAATGACGTTCCTTCGGTTGGATTGGAAGTCTCCCGCACGTGGCACGCCCGATCTGGCTCAACCTCTTAGGCTGACTACGCATTGATCCGTCGGCGTTCCTCCCACAGTCTCGCACGCAGGCGGCGAGCCTAGGGTTTGCTTTTCCTCTAGTTCTTGTGGCTCCCGGCCCCGCACGAGACGATATTCCTTCCTATTGAGCTTAGGGTAATAAGTTTGATTTTCCTCTTCTCCATCTTTAGCGACGTTCCTTCCTGTCAAGTGTCCACGACTCACTCGTCCGGCTTCGACGAGACGAGTTGCCTCCTTCGACAGTTTGACTAAGTTCCTCCAGTTTGTGTGCTTCTTCGGCCAGTTGGGTTGGGTCAACTTGAAAACCCGACGGGTTGGGTCAGGCTTGAATTTTATGACTCGTTTGCAAAAATGGGTCGGGTTCGAGTTGTGTCAAATAGTGTCGGATCAGTTCTGGGTTCGACTCAAACCCGAACTGCAACTCAATTTTGACACCCCTAATCCTAGCCATCCATTTCAGAGTAACTTGGTGTAGGATGATCCTTTTATGTCTAAAATTTTTAGGTTTTGAATTTATGTATGACGGGGGCTGTTTTTGTTGTTTAGTGGTAGAATTTTCATTCACTTTTAAAGGGTATTGTAAGACACTCATCCATGCTATTGATTTCAAATTTTATGAGGGCTGAATGATCTTTTGCATCCTTCAATTTTCCATGTCACTCCAATAGGATAAAGAGAGGAAAAGATGGCTGATTTTTGGTGTTCTCATGTGGCTTTCTCATGGGTATTCTCTCTTATGTCTATAGCAGGTTCAAGTGCAAGAAAAGAAGTGTGAAGCTCCTCCTGCATAAAAAAATTTCGGCCAAAGCTTCTCCTCCATGAAAATTTCTGCTTGCTTCCTTTATTATCTGGTCTATAATAGTTTTTGGACAAAGAGAAGAAAGAAAAACTTGATGAAGTTGTTGCTCTCTCTTTCTCTCTTGAAGATTTCAGCCAGCTCTCCCTATCTTGAAGGTTTCGGCCAAAAGAAGAGAAGACGAGCTTATGTAAGTTTCTTTCTCAAGTTTGAAAGAAGATAGTAAAAATGTGAGCTAGATTAGACTAGAAAGGAAACTAGCTGATTTTTTTCAAAGAGGAGAACTTTTGGCTAAAGTTTTTTCATGGAGGAGCTTCACACTTCTTTTCTTGCCATTGAACTTGCTATAGACGTGAGAGAGAATGACCGTGAGAACACTAAAAATCAGCCTTCTTTTTCTCTCTTTCTCCTATTGGAGTGACATGGAATGTTGGAGGATCCAAAGACCATCCAACCCTCATAAAGTTTGAAATCAATGGCTTGGATGAGTGCCTTACAATACCCTTTAAAAATGAATGAAAATATTGTCACTAAACAACAATAACTGCCCCTTCATACATGGATTCAAATCCTAAAGGTTTTAGGCATAAAAGAATGATGTAGGCAAAGCCGGCTGTTTGGTGTTCTATGTGTTACTCGGATTGTTTGGTGGCTGTTGTATTTCTTGCTGAGTTTCTATGCAAATTTCGGTTTCCCAAATGCTTGGAATTTTTCTTTTTCTAGTTTTCTGTGCTAGACTTTCACCTCCCCTATGTTATTTAGGAGTGCTTTTTGCTGATTTCCTATGCTAGCCGTTTCACTTTCCTACGTTATTTCCTAAGTTTTGTGTTGGCTCCTATTGGATGTTTGGGGTGTCTCATTAATGTGAGTGGTTAGCTGTTTTTCTCCTATAAATGAGGCCATTTTGCTACAGTTTTGAGAAGAGAATGAAATGATTTTTGGTTTACAAACCTGCGGGTCTTTTTAGTTTGCGAGCTAGCCTCCTTTACCTCTATTAATTCGTCTCGGTTTTTTACATCTTCTCTCTCCACTATTCCGGCACCACTTGCATCTTTTTTGTCATAAATTATTGTAAGTATCAAGTTGTGTCATGTCTTGTTCTAATATAATTTGTAAGTGGTTTCTATTAGAAGTTGAAATCTTTGTTGTGTTTTGTTTAGTGTTTGGATTTGTCATATTGAAAGGAAGGTCTTTTTTTTTTCAATTCTAGTTTGATGTTTTTTCTTTTGCATACCTAGTGTTCTTTTACTTGGGTTAGGATTCCTAGGTTGCATTAATTTGGTATCAGAGTTAGGTTGTCGTTATAGTCTTCCTTTCTTCTTTATAAAACATATGGATAATCAACAAGCCGAAGTTCAGTCTCAAGATGAATTTGATCCTGCAGATTTTGAAAGTCAGCCTTCTATGCCTTGGATTCCAGAGGAGAAATTTCCAGCCACAAATAGGAGAAATTTGAAAATAAAAGGCGTCTACTTTAATTCGAGTTTATTCGAGAAAAAGAGAAGATCCAAAAGAAGTACGACATGTTGATATAGGAATTAGAAAAGGCGCATAATGGAAGTTCTAATGCTATCTCATCAGGGGATGGGATTTCTCCACATGGGGAGAATTGATGTAGGCAAAGCTGGTTGTTTGGTGTTCTATGCTTTATTCAGATTGTTTGGTGGTTGTTGGATTTCCTGCTGAGTTTCTATGCAGATTTCAATTTTCCAAATTGATGAGGACATTAGCAGGAGATTCCAGCGGGTCTATCACATGAGACATCATCGATCGATGGCCACGATCAGGAGCATCTATTTTTGAGTTGTTTTATATTATTGTATTAGTATTATTATTATTAGTTTTAGTTTGACCTTTGTATCCCTATGAGGGAGTTTAGTGAGTTGTAGCCAAGATGTCATTTTTGTCTGAGTTTTCTTCTTTGTGGAGGCCTATATATAGAAGCCTTAAACTTTGTAGTTGGATGATGATTGATTATTAATGAATTTAGCTTTGTTCTTAATCTCTTTGTGAGTTCTTGAGAAGAAACCCTAGGAGAGGGCCAAGCATCACCCATCAGCCTCCAGTGGAGGCCGGGGTTCGCGGTTAGTATTTGTGTTATCTTCATTTTCCCCTCCCCTTATCTCCACCGTCGGCCACCCCTCCCAACGCACCCCAAGCCGCCGGTCTACTCTCCCGACACCTCCCTATAATCAGCATTCCTCGAGGCGTAAGCCTCACGAACGCAGAATTGCGTAAATGAGAATTTAAGGGTTTTAGCTGGTAAATAATAACAAAATTTTATCATACAATAAAAACATCTAAATGTCAAGTGAAATTAGTGGAAATTAAGAAAATAGATGCAATAAAAGCATGTTCCAAAGTACAAAACAACAAAATTATAGTCTATCAGAACTCCCAAAGTACAATTAAGAAGGAACATATAAAATTCAATCATATCTCATCACTAAATGGGTCTTCAAGGGAATATTCTTCTCCAATTGTATCTATGAATGTCATATCTTCATTATTTTCAATATGACTCACTTTTCTCTTCCCCGTTTAATAAAAAGGATCATTAATTCATTATTATGTTAATATAATGCAATAACATACAAGAAGTTGTGGAATACCTTTACTTGATTGTTGTGCTGTAGAGCTAGTGGATGTGTGATACTAGTGGATGTGCCCACTTGATCTGCTTCGTCTCAAGACATCCACACTTAGATTCTTTAGCTGTAAGTCTGATAATGGCAAATCTGTCTCATCATCTATGAACCACTCATTATCAGATGACACATCATCACATACCAATGGATCCTCATCATCTTTCAATCCCTTATTCCTCAACCTCCTATCTCTTAACCTCTTGTTGTGCATAATATATACAAGGGAGTTCATTCTGAGTGTTGTGTAACTCTAATAGCAAAACTTTGTAACTCAGGGGTGGAATCACCAAATTGGATCCACCATTCAACTATTTTCAAGAAGAAAAATTATAATCAGAACATAATAAAATGTTTTGCATTTACCAAAATAATTATACCTGGAGACTGTTTGGCAATAGTTGATTTTTCTACATGAAGACCAAAAAAACCCTCTTTATTCCGAAATAGAACAAGTTGTAAATCTGCAAGCTCCCTATCTGTCTGCTCCGGTATAAGTCGTTCCATGCAATGATACAGGCCAAGCTTCACCTCCGGGTTTGAAGATTTCCTCTCTGAATATTTAAATTGAGGAGATGACGGTGTAACTGTACCTCCCACCAAGCATCAATGATATACCAAATCTTTTTATAACTTGCCTCCTCTCCTCCCAAGTTGTGTGCAATCAATTCCTTGGCCTCATTCATTGCACTATAAATAAAACCCATGGCTGGTTTCTTCTCGGCATCGACTAAACGTAAAACTTGCACTAAGGGTCTTGTGCTCAATATGGCATATGGAAGGGTGGCCAAGCGTGCAGGAGCGTCTCTGGTTCGCGAACAGAGCTGTTGGAAGGGAAATTTCGGAACACCTGGAACTCGTGCGGGATGAAGGGAAGAGAGGCTTTATTTTAAGCAGGTGGGACCGGTTTAGTGAGGCGTACGCCTCACCTATAATTGCGCAATTGCGCCTCTGAGGCGCGCCTCAGACCAGGTGAGGGGTACGCCTCTGCCAGGGAAGGAATTGCGTAATCCTCGAGGCGTATTTGGGTCAAATTGCGCAGAGGCGCGCCTCTTATTGCGCAATTTTAAACATAGCCCTTGTGGCACCATCTGCCTATTCAAGCCCACTGCCCCTCTTCGAGTCGTCGGCTCACCCAAACCTATCCTAGCTGTCTGCCTTGCAAATCCCAATCCTTAGATTTCAAATTCCAATAGCCACTTCAATACTTTCCTAAAATATCCCTTCTATTAATTTGGAAATCTTTTATTTGAATTCAAAATTATTTGAATTTCAAATTCTTTCCATATTAATAAATCATATTTTAGGGAACCTCTCCAATTTGAAATTAAAATCAGATTAATTATCTAATTGCAATTATTGCTTGGGGGCCACACACATCGAATGTGGACATATGCCCCCACCTTCTTTGGCCGACTCCCCCCTCCCCTTTCCTTTTCTCTCTCTCCAATTAAACCCATATCTCATAATTTAATCCCATTAATCCGTCCCATTAGCCGCCCCTCCCCCTTCTCTTTCTCCTCCTTCCAATTAATTCCCTCCCTCCTAATTCAAACCCTATTACCCCCACCAATGAAGCCGCCGGCCTTCCCCGTACTATTGCCCTAAATTTTGGGATTCAAAATTTGAATTTTCCAATTTCCCTCCACTCCTATTAATTCTCTAGATTAATTATCTTCCTTGATAATTAACCTAAAATATCCTAAGCTTCCTCCTAACCCTAACCGTCCCCTCCTCTACCCGAACCCTCCCAAACCGTCGCTCCACCCCTCCCTTCCTCTTTCACAATCCACAGGCCTTCCAGGATCACCAGTAGAGGAAGCTGCTTTGTCCATGGATGACATATTCAAAGTTTGATTCCGGCCTCATCTACGATCAAGAAGACTTTGTCGACATTCGACGGTCATCCTTCTTTGACCTTGATTTGGAGTTCGACGAATCCGTGGAAGATTACGTGAACAGAATTCTCTTTCAGTTGTTCACTTCCATCAATCAACGCCTCTCCTCCAACCAGTGGTTGATTGTTTACCATCCACTGTCTCCTTCGAATCCGGGTAACTTTTGGTTGACCAATATCCTCGGTGCTCTCTGTTCACTAGCCGCATTAGTGTTATTGCTTAAGATCTTCTTCCGCTAAGTCCACTTCAACGAGCGAAAGTGAGGGGAACTCACAGACGAATTTTCTAACTATTAGGAGGTGGATTCTATGTTACCGCCATAAGTGTTGTACAAGTTTGAATTATCTTACGTATTCTGCTACTCTATATTGTAATTATTTACTATTTCGAAATCAACATCAAGTAATTCTCTTGGTGAAGCCTTATTTAATAATTTGCAGAGCCTAAACCACTTTTATTAATTTTTATGCAATTCCTGCTTCATTTGTGTTTTACATAATTTGTAATTGGTTTCTATTAGAAGTTGAAAGCTTTATTGTGTCTTGTTTAGTGTTTGTATTTTTCATATTGAAAGGAAGGTCTTTTTTTTGCAATTCTAGTTTGGTGTTTTTTTCTTTTGCATACCTAGTGCACCAAAGAACCATCCTACCCCAACTGACTTTGAAATGGATGGCTGGGATGATATCTTTTGCTATTCTTGGAGGCTTGATGAAGAAGTAGTGTCATTGCATGCATTTTTAACCATTGGATTAAAAAGATGGTTGATTTGGATGACAAATCCTATTAGCCATGAGGATTAGAAAGTTCATCCTACTCTTAGCCATATTGAATGGATGGTTATGTTTGTTTGCTTGATTTAAAAATTATTTGCTTGCTAAACTGGGTAAATTTGAGATTAATTTATGTAGAATTTTGTATATGAAAAAAACAAAAAAACAATGTGTGATAGTCTTATACTAGGTAATTTATTCTTAGGAATCTGCTAATATGCAATCATTGGTCTACTATTGCAGATTTTTGAGGAAATTGGGTTTGTAAATTATGTTCAACATTTATTCATGCAGTCAGGAAGCATGACTAGAGCACCTAAGCCCCAGCTATCAGCTAGCATGCAACCGTCCATTAGTCAGTTTGGAGATATCAGTAGTAATGTAAGTGCCTTACTCTCCAACACCTTTCATGACAGAGATCAACTTTTCAGAGGCCATGACTCGACGTTTATTACCAAAGCTTCATCTGTATGTACATCTTCACTTAATAAGGTGTCTCTCCCTCAACAAATGTTGCTTGACAACAACATCGGCCATGTTGCTAATTCTAACCTTTATCCAAATAACCAACTGAAAAGTGAATGTCTGGGGCATCTTGGGACATCCTCAGCTTGTAATTCTAGGATAACCGAAAATGCCTTGCCATATCATTCACATTCAGTCTATGAGAATCATTGTCAATATGCAGATGTGAATTGCAGCTTGTTTCCTGGTCATTTGCAATCCCTTGAAAACCAATATCCTGCTGACAAACATGAAGCTATGGCTGATAGCTCCAAAGTATTTCACCTGAGAAATCATGAATCTAAACTCTCCAATTCCCTTAAATGTTCTAACTCAGCTTCATCATTTGGTAGAGAGAATATTGGAAATACCCATACACTTTCTAGTGGTATAATGGAATGCATCGAAAGTCAAATATCTTCTAATAGTGAAGTATCACAAATACTGAGCCTAGCAGATGATTTAGATAGGGTTCATATGCTTTCTTGTGGCTTTAGCCGGACTCAATCTACCTCCACTGGTGAAAAATCTAGGACTATGTGTTCTGTGGATAAAGACAAGGATGGAAACGTAACGTACCAAGCACTTGATGGATCAATGACTGAAGCTGATGGACATGGATCTGGAGATGGATTGAATCATAGTTCTAACCAAGATGTTTGGTGTGATTCATGTCTAGTTTCAGCAAACGAACAGGTTCCTAACAGCATCATTGCACTGGCTAATGGTCAGAGTAATAGCACGGATATATTGCCTCTTTCAAGCATAAAAACAACTTTTGATCCTCAACAACAAAATTCTGATAGCACTCTATTTGATTTGTTTGACTTTGATCAGGTATCTAATGCCAATTACAGTCTTTCGGATAATTCTTTTGTTAATTTGAATAGTGTGGAAGTTTGTGAATTGAGCACAGATGTTTCTACTTGCATAAGACAGAGAGATGCAGATAGATTTGGTGATATATTAAATGATGAAATTTCTTGTAGTGGTGGGCTGTTCTCTGAAAGTGGTAGCGACCAACTGTTGGATGCTATAGTTTCACAGATGAAGCCAACTAGAAAGCTCATCTCTGATGATAATGTTTCTTGTAATACTGCATCAACAAACATAAGCAATAATTCACTCCACAGCAGTTCTGCACAATGTAATGTGGTGGCTATATCAGAGCAGTTGCATGGAAAGTTTGTAGGGCAGTCACCAATTAGTCCCAAGTCACAGATAGCTGTGGCAAATTTCCTTAATTCTGAGTGCAGCATAGACAGATCTGAAGGGGTAGGCTCCCTTGGGGATGACAAATTTAAATCTCAAATCAGTTTATGGGTTGGAAAAGCTAGGAATATGAATTGTGATGGAATATCTGCTGCAAATTGTAAAAGAGTTGATGAGGTAGGTAAGTCGAATAGAAAAAGGTCTAGAACAGGAGAAAATCCCCGACCAAGGCCTAAAGATCGCCAAATGATCCAGGATCGTGTCAAGGAGCTACGGGAAATTGTACCCAATGGAGCTAAGGTGATTGTTAATTGTTGGTCTAATAGTTGAAGTTCTTAGTTGCATTTCATAATCCTTAGATGAAATAATATGATTGAATCTCTAAACTACAAACTTGTCTTCTGTTTAATTGCTGGATTCAGATGAGTATTGATGCTTTACTGGAAAAAACCATCAAGCACATGCTTTTTCTGCAAAGTGTCACAAAACATGCTGATAAGCTCAAGGAAACCGGGAAGCCTAAGGTATGCTGTTCATTCTTTTCCTTTGGAATAAACCTAGAAAATCTTCTTTTATTTGGCTGTTGTTGTAGGTAATTTTGCTCTTCTAGGAAGTTTCAATACATGAAGCTTTTATATTATTTTTGTTTCTGTTGGTGGGTTTGAACCAAAGGGAAATTGGCATTAAGCTAGATACACCAGTGCTCTAATCTATTTTCAACCTAAGAATTTAAACTATGGGTAATAGCCAACCATTATATTTTTCAACTAGTTGTTTTGAGACAAAATCCAACTCACATATCTTAACAATCTCACCCTCATGTGAGAGCTCTATACATTGACCATCACTTTCCCTCATTCAAATAAAAGATCTTTGGCATCATCAAATATCATGCACCAAGAGCCCATTCAACCATGTGGCAGCACCATGAGAATCACCCACTTTTAACCATGCTCAATCATGGCAGAAAGGGCCAGAAGATACCTATGGGACTACAAATCACTTAATCCAACTTTAACTGATGGCTTTGATACCATTTGTTGCACGGTTGTGGGTCCATGGAAAACCAAAATTGTAATTGAAGATGTCTACACGGTGCCAATTATACATATAGCTTCTTTTTACAAGCTGCTTTAAGGCTGGACATGATCAAATTTCCTGCCCAAGCTGTCATGCTGGGAGGTGTGAGCTAAACTACGGTTAAACAGTTCTAGGACATTTAAGAAATCTGCTTGATGGCATGTTAAGCATGCAATAACTTTTATCTTCCCTTCTCCTGCCTATTTAACAAGAGTCATCTTCAGTTCCAGTTTACTAAGATCCATGATTAAGTTTTTAATTTTATTTTATTTTATCCAGGGAAAGGAGGAGATGAACTCCGATAGTAACATGTTTTTTTCAGCCTTACCCAGTTCTGAAACTTCTTTGACTTGTTTTCAGGCATCATAGTTTGGTTATGAACTAATCTGAAGGATTCTTACATGGTGATTGGAGAAGAATTTGTAAGACCATTGCCAAGTTGTTTGGATAAGGATGAGAGACATATTGATGATTTAATTATTTAGGCCCATCAAATACTTAGGGATTATGTTTAAAGGAAAGTAAACTAATTGTTGTGTATTGGTCCTGTTTTAGATGAGGTTGTTCCTGCATGACATCACACTAGTGTAAATCCCTATAAATAGAGGTTGTATAAGATGATGTAATGAACCCTAGTGCTGCAAGTGAACCAAGCATTCGACGAGCTACTCGATGCCCGGTTCGATTAAAGCTCGTTTGTGATCGTTTAACTAACTAAACAAACAAACTTGAACAACATTTTAAATACTCGGTCCTTAAAATAAACAAGCTTGAACACTAATGTATTCAGTTCATTTATGTTCAAGAACAATATCATTTGAAGTTTGTGAACAAGCTCGACATTAAGCTCGATAAAAAGCTCGATAAAAGCTTGAATGAAGAGAAATGCAACATGTAAGCTTCATTTAAGAAGATATTCATATAGATTAATCATATTTTCATTTTAAATAGACAACTGCTTTTATTATAAATTTAATTTTCTGAACAAAAGACATTTCATATCTGTCCATATTTGCTAGATTATTTGTTTAAGATGTTCATGAACAAATTTAATGTTTGTTTGTTCAATAGATTGTTTGTTAAATATGTTCACGAACATAACTCTTTAAGACTTTGTTTGTTTAAAGCTCGATGAACATTAAATGAACCGAACATGAACTGAACATGAACCAAACATGAACACCCTTAAATTAACGAACCAAACATGAACACAAATAATAAAGCTCGAATCAAACACGAACCAAACTTGAACAAGCTAATGATAAACGAACTCAAACATGAACACTCAAATACTCAGCTCGGTTCGTTTGCAACCTTATTGAACCCCTTGTAAGTCCATGATGATGAATAAAGTGGCCATTCCTTTCCCTGACTCTCTCCCTCTCTCTATATTTACCATGAAGCTCAAGAAGAGCTCTTCTTCCTCAAGTAAGAATCAAAATACTAAATCTATTCTGGATGGTAAAATCTGTCAAAATAGAGAAATTTATATTAGATGTTGAATTGTCTCTCTTGATTGACGATAATGAGGAGTAATCAATATAGAAGTACAAAGATGTATGATTTGCATCAACAATATTATACTTCTTACGGTGAAGAGAGTGTAGATGATTTTGTTTCTGTATTGTTCTCCTCCTGTTGTATATTGCTCTTAACGCCTGTCTGCATACTTTTCTAGTTGAAGTTGTCTCTCTGCTAGGATTGACCGATAAGCTGTTCACCCTAAACTTTTCACTTCTTATTCTTTTTTGTTTACATTTTCTAACACAGAATGTAGTTTTCATTTTATATGTTGAGATGTAAATTATTCCTTTGTTTTCTTATGGATCTCATACAATATGCTCTCTATTTCCTTTTTAACCAATGAATTTATGTTTTTTTGACAAAAGAGAAATTTCTTAAATAAGTTATAGTGTGTTTCTTATGACCCATTGGAGTAATATATCTAGAGATGCCTGCTGATTCTTTATTGTACCTGCTCAAACGCAATATAAACACTTTATGAAGGACTGACTAGTTCACTCTTTATTGCAAGCATCGACGTCGTCGTGTGAAATGCGGCGACGACGTGCGGAATTCGGCGCTCGAACGTGGCCGGACAGGTGAGGTATTTTTTAATATATTTTTTTTTCTTTTTTGGATACAATAACGGGTCAACAAATCTTCTCATTGCAAACATCTAGAACTATGTTAAATAAGTTTTAATACTAAATGTTATATTAATTTGCAAACTAAAATTATGAGGAGAGAACAAAGAGAAGATTTGGACCTTCTTTGATGGCTTAGGAACAGCCAAACGAAGTGAGAGAAATTCAAAGTTTGTGAGTTTCTTAAAAATAATTATAGTGTTATATTCTCAAGGCAGCACCTTTATGGTGTATCTATTTTTTTTTTAAAGTTATATAAGATTAAAATAGAGCACCTTTATGGTGTATATATGAAGAAGGCAAGTCTTTGTTAAATAATTTTACCATCATATTTATATGATTTTCAGAGTTGTTATTGGTCTTAAAGTTATTTCCTTTCTCAATCTTTGCTTATATCATCTTCTTCTCATAACCTTCATCTTACCGTTAGTGCTCTATTTTAATGTTTGTATTCAGTCGATTCCATTGCTAGAATTTTTATTTGTACTTCAGCACTAGGATTGCGCACAACATGTTTGACAAATTGTGTGGTTGAGATGGTTTATAGAATAGGGGTGTCAATATTTGACACGACACGACAACCCGACCCGGAAAATCCGGGTTGGACCCGACCCGTTTGATAAACGGGTCGGGTTCGGGTTCACAGATTGACCTGTTTGATAAAACGGGTCGGGTCGGGTTGACCCGGCGGGTTACCGGGTCAACCCGAAAACCCATTTAATTTAAAAAAATAGAGAAATGTTTCTGTACAAATGAGTTCCCCGATGCTCATTTGATGGATTCCTCAGCCTGTCAGCCACTCCATAACAAGCTCGTTATCCTTGCCTCGCCCAATGATATAATTTTTACTTTTTAGGCAAGGATCTTGTTTCACGTGCTCCGTGCAGCTCAAGCTGCTGCTTCTGAAGCTCCTGCTTTGCATCTTTTACAAGATGAAGGAAAGTATCAACACCAGTTGTTGTAACTTTATCAAATTTCTGCACAGCCGTCTCCATTCGCTTCAAGGTGGGATCAATTTTGAGAGCACGTTTGCCAAATTTTATGAACGCTGCCGGGTCGCGGGTTGGGTCGGGTCAACCCGGCAACCCGGCCGGGTCGGGGCCCCACTAAGGCTTCCGCCCCCTCTTCCCTGGTCCGCCTGCTATAAGTGAGAACCGGTCCATTAGGGATCGGTTCAATCGGCCCAGGAGAGGCCGGCCTAACATTACTCCCCTCACAAAAACTCACACTGTCCTCAAGGTGGAAGGAGGGAATATGATCTTTCATCCTCTCCACTGGCTCCCAAGTCGCATTGAAATCGAGGAGGCCCTTCCATCTGATCAGCACTTCTTTGTTGCCTTCTCTATCTAATCTTACCACTACCAATTCCAGTGGTTCTAACACCACTTCCAATTCCTTCGCAATGTCGTTGATATATCTGCACTAACTACATGCTCCTTAATAGCTTTTCTCAACTATGATACATGGAAAACTGGGTGCATAGTAGCTGATGGGGGCAACATCAGTCGATATGCCACAACTCCAATCTTGTCCTCAACTTCGTATGGGCTGAAGTATCTTGGTGCTAATTTCTCATTCCTTCTTTTGGCTACTGTCCTCTGCTTGTAAGGTCGTAGTTTTAGGAATACTTTTTCCCCAACTTCAAACTGCATGTCTCTTATGTGTGAATCTTCCTGCTTCTTCATGAGTTGTTGGGCCCTCAGTAGATGTTTCTTTAAATCTTCTAGCACCTTATCCCTTTTTTCCAGATACTGCTCAACTGAAGAGACCGGTGTATTTCCTTTCCCATAGTGCACTAGGTTTGGGGGGTCCCTTCCATACAGCACCTTGAAGGGCGTCATCTGAGATGCAGAATGATGTGAGGTTTTGTACCAATACTCCGCCCAAGGCAGCCACTTCGCCCACATTCACGGTGTTTCATAAGCAAAACACCTCAAATAAGTCTCCAGACTTCGATTTACTACCTATGTCTGCCCATATGTCTGTGGATGGTAGGCGGTACTTCTTGTGAGGACAGTCCCCTGCAACTTGAACAATTCCCCCCAAAATTGGCTGAGAAACACCTTGTCTCGATCTGACACTATTGATTCAGGGATCCCATGCAGTCTAACCACTTACCTGATAAATGCTGCTGCCACTGACACAGCGGTGCAGGGGTGTCTCAATAGGATGAAATGTGCATACTTACTGAGTCTGTCCACCACCACCATGATAACAGTGTATCCTTCTGATCGCGGTAAGCCGTTGATGAAGTCTATGGACACTTCCTCCCATACTTTGTTGGGAAGTGCCAAGGA